ATATCAAGCTATCTAAGTACGCAGTACTGCTTAATTCATTTGCGAGGTATAAACAAAATTCGTTTCATTCGCCTCTTTCGATTCGGATTGATCTATCAAACTAATATGCATGTAGTTAAAACTACCCGTCATATGTCGAGATAAATCCTATTTAATAATTACAACTTTTTATTGGTACTACATAAGTAACGGTGTATTTCGTCTAACGTGGCAGGTAGGGGAGACCGAGAGGATTTGAAACAAAGGTGAGTTGAAACAATAACAATTTCTCGGAACTTAAAACCGTTAGCGAGTTAGCAACTTCGCCTTATAACTACTTTTCTCAAGCCCTTCGTGGTGGAAGTTCACGTCGGTGGTGTGCATCGCGCGTTTGTGGAGTTCTGTCAGCCGTATGTTAAAAATCGTGAAAAGTAAGTTTTTTGAGCTTTGATAAGATGTTTATATAGGTTTTATATTTTGGTTTAAGTTATGTGTGTTTCGAAAGCTCATTAACTAAAGATTCATTGTATAATTTGGTACAGTTGATTTCTATGTATTTGCTTTTTCATTGTAGATTAAATAAAAATGGGAGGTTTTATTTCTACTGAGGAGATTTGAAACAGACTGTTTCAACTCTTCTCGGTCTCCTCTACATACATAACATGAGATATTGGACAATAGTTGCAGAGCAGACAAATGCCACAGCATACACTTCACGAATGTTGCACACAGCGTGACGGGTAGTGAATTTTATTTATTTATTTTGTTTTAGAATGCCAACTGATTATAAAAGAAAGACTGACAGGGGTATGGCAAGTCACGAAATATATGATCTCGCAGCAGAAGAAGTAATTTTGCGACAGAAGTTTCCGCGACGCGGTTTCGAGTTATAATCAAACCATACATCTCTCTGCAGATATATTAAAAAAAAAACTGTTTATGAAGGCAAAGAAACGGCGACTACTCCTACAGTTGGATATCCTGAAAAGACTGTTTTAACAGCTTCAGAGGAGAAGACAATGTGTGAGTATCTTTTAAACTGCGCTGCTGTTAACTTTGGCCTAAGTACTAAAGAAGCCAGAACTTTGCCTGTAATTTGGCTGTAAATATAATACATAAAAAATATAATAAAAAATCTCTTCTGCTTGGACTGAGCATGAAATGGCTGGAAAGGTTTGGCTTCAATCATTTGTGATACGGCATCTCGTTCTTTCTTTTAGACTGCCTCAACCTACAACTATCGCTCGAGTTACAAGTTTAGCAGATCAAATGAACAACTTTTTTTCCAAAATTATACCACATGGTTACAAGGGAAGGATATATGGAACGTTAATGAATCAGGTATCACTACAGTCCAGGAACTAGACCGCATCATTGTAATACTTAAGAAATTACTGAAAATTAACAACTATTGTATGTTAAAGATTTAGGAAGATCTTTTTTATTTAAGGTGAAGGTGTAATTAACTACTTTAAGAGTTAAATATTTTTATGAGACCTGTAGTTACCTACTTGACTGATATATATATATTAATAAAAAAGTTGTTTCATACTAAAAATGTTCTATTTGAATAAATACCTTGAAATTATATCATCTTTTGTATTTTACACCCCTTAATACTTCTCTAAAATCATATGTTTCAACTCTCCTCGTCCCCTGTTTCATCTTACCTATGATCTACGTATGAGGAGAGTTAAAACAAATTGACTTGTTTCGGTTAAGTCGATGTCTACCACAATATTTAACGTTTACAACTACTTTACGTTAGTCATTCGCAAGTGTAAATAATTACCTATCGATTGGTACTAATATCATACGATTTCTGTGTATAGTATTTGGTGTTTGAAATGAAATGTCAAAATTGTTTCAACTTCTCTCGGTCTCGGTAATAGTCAATCCAACGATTATCAATTGATAAGCAAGCTAAAGAACAGCATTTTAAAACTAAGTTTGTACATAATACTAATTTACTAGCTGTAGTACTTCTTCTTCATCAGACATATGTGATGAAGATTGTCCACTGTTTGTATCAGGCGTTTGGAGTATGTCAACCCATTCAGAATCTTTTGCTGCTAAAGGGCATAGAGGCTCTGGAGAATCGTCCCGGAAATCCGAATTAGACCTTTGTCTCTGCAAACATGTGAAAACATGTGTAGGTAAAACTTACTATTCTATTCTATTGATCCGAAAAAAAAAACATGTATTTTCGAAATACCAATATTTAAGAAACGCATTTTTCGATAATTTATGATGCAACGGAGGTAGGACCTGACACTGTTTGCACTTATCTGATGTTCAGATAATGTTAACGGATGTGATTTCAACATATTTATAAGAAGACAAATAGAATAGGCTATTCATACGAGGTATAAATAAAATTACATCGAAAGAATCTACTACATCTGACCTATAGAATCATGTTATGGGCCATTCTAGCTGCGGAAAGTGCGCGATATCCTGCCCTGCGATTCTATTAAAATGCAAAGCCGAATTCGAATTCACTAGTGTCCAAAAAAAGCGGCACCCCCTCTATCTTGAATTGGTAATAACGTTTCGTGGCATAAGTAAAGTGAATTTCAAAATGATATAGGAATAGAATATCTGAGACACATATAATCTGATTCATTGATTGAACCAAATTGATTATTTGGTTTTGTATTTTGATAAAAAAATGGAATCAATAGAATTTATTCACTAAATAAAGTGAATTAGGACACATGATTGAATTCAAATTCGAGTTCGGATTTTTACAGATTCGCTATTGGTTGCTTTTTAATGCTATTTAATTTTTCAAGTTATATTCTATTCTAGCGGTGTTTATGAACGGAAAATACAGAGTGAAATGATCTTAGTGTCTTATAAACGCTAACTTAATATTTCAATGGCCGCTCCAGACTGTGGCCCATAATGGGCGAACACTAAGTGTCACCATGATTGTCACCATCATTGCGCCGCTATCCACACGATCTGCCATCTGAACTATATGGACGCCGAAATAAGAAACCAAATTGTCATTGTGGAGCGTCCTTTTGGTATAATTTCAAAAACTGAAATGGTTAATTATAGATCGTCTTCGGCTACGACATTTAACATCGATTATAGGCAAAACAGCACGCGCCCGCACCGTATCATAAATAAATACGAATTAAGTGGTCGGCGATTCTGTGGACAAGCGCACGATCATGGCCAAACTTCTTTTGATGATTGTCTGAAAAACCGACACAGGGGCGAACATGGACGATCATCGTCGACCATAGGTCAATATGGATAAACATTTCGTCTACAAAACGGTGATGGCCTGTGTTCGCCCATCATGAGCCACAGTGTGGAGCTGGTGTAAAACGTGGCAAATATGCGCAAGAGATATTTCAGTATATTGAAGTACTAACGGTATACATACTCACTACCCAATGCGGAGAACAGGTGCTGGAACACCTGCCGGCGTGCGTTGAAGTATGTTAAACATACTCACATTACAAAAGTTTCAAAATTGTGAGAAGTTTGATCTTATTATAGAAAAAAAAAGCTTATTGCTCAGAGTGCATAATTGTAGAATACAGCAACTCAGCACGTCGAAAGTTGTTGAAAAATTCAGATCCGAAAAAGTTTTGAAACGGCTGAAATTTAATTAATTGCTAAGTGATTAGAAGAAAAATATACTCAGACTACACATCAAGCTCTTGCACATATTTGTTACGGTCTCCGTCTATTAACAAACTAATAAATTACTGAGCTTCCTGGTTTCGTTGTTGAAAGCGTCTTCTGTTTGGGCCTTTTATATTTTTTGTTAAAGGGATTCATTTTGGAGATATCATTTTATAATCAAGATGAATAAATGAGTTTATTTAGGTACTCTTTCGGTATACCAGCTAATGGTTTGGTGAGCAGTGTGGCTCAAGAAAACTTTAATACTTTGTTTTCATATGGTATCCATCATCATGCGAAGTAAATAGGTTAACAACAAAGAGTAAAAGTATAATAGGTATACACACTGTTGCACCATTCACTTATCAAAGGCTGCGCCAATATGTATGTACATAATACGTAACGAGGAAGTATTAAAAAAACATAAGTTCCCGAAATCAAACTAGATGTCGCTGCGGTACTTTCTAGATTTCTCCATGACAACCATGGTTTGGTTTTCTTTCATGTATATAAGTAAATTAATTTTCAAAACTCAATAAACAACTCATATTCTATTTGTACTTTTTTCGTATTTGTATTGATATCTCAGTTTCGAACTTTGCAAATTTCACTTTTTTAATATGTTATTTAAAGGGAAAGGAAATGACCATCACTAGTCCATTTGTTCCCTTCAAAAATCAACTTTTGCTAGAGTAGCTATCTAGTGAGGTACTTTTTTAGTGCTTTCTTCATTTTCTTAAAATATTTCCTCATTGATTTTGTACTCTACTTCAAACGAAGCAAGATTTGAAATCGAATCAAGAAATCTGTCAGTTTTGCTAACCAGCCCTGCGATTCTGTAAAAATCCAGAACCAGATTCGAATTCCCTCATGTGTCCGAATTCACGTCATTTAGTATAGAAATTCTATCGCTTCCATTTTTTGTATAAAATACAAAACAAAATTGATTGAATATACGTGTCTCAGATATTCTGTTTCTATGTCATTTCGAAACTCACTTCATTTACGCCACGAAACGTTATTACCAATTCAAGGTTGAGCGGATGCCGCTTTTGATGTGGATTCGGACACCAGAGTGAATTGGAATTCAGGTTTGGATTTTTACAGAATCGCAGGGCTGATGTGCTGTTGTTGACTGTACATCTAGTTTTAATCTTGGTAAAGATCGAGTTCGTATTTACTATATAGTTGATTACCTAAATCTTTAAGGTTATATTACCATTAACTTGACCTTCTTCAGATTGTGTATAAGGGACTGTCCGCACCGCGATTTTATTATCGCAATCTGTAATACATTGAATCATCAAATATCCGCACGTGTGGAAACACAGACATGCACAGCAACAAATAACTTTGGATGACTGTTGTCTGTGTATTGATTTATCATGTAAAGTTGATATCAATTACAAACTTGTTTAAGCTAAATTATTAAAAAATATATTTAAATTAAAATGTAATATTTGATCATCAAAAGAGATAGATATATTTATTAATTACATATTTTTACAATAATAATAGTTTTCTCTATGAGTAATCATCATCTTCTTCATCTTCAACTTTAAGAGTTGCAGGGGGAGGGACATATGCCTGAGCATTATCAGCTCCTACTAAGCCTTGTTGCTGTAGAAGAAGCCATTGCTGCTGCTCTTGTTTAGCCTGTTCTTCACGTGCCTGCAACCCAATAAATCAAAGTCGGTAGATAATGGACAGAGGCGACGTGGCCTCGTGGTGTAAAAGGCCTTACACCTAAAAGTTGAAAAATTTGAGAATCTAAAAAGGAAACAATGTAACAAAATATTTTCAGTTTTTATTATATTTGATCAATTTCGCATTTACAATTAATGAAAAATGCTTGAAAATTCCACTTGGTCTCTGGCACCATGTGATGGGATTCCAACCCATGACCTTTTGCAATTCAACAGGAATTTTTAAGCATTTTTCATTAAGAATTACTTTAGTATTTTATTTTTCTTGAATTATTGAATATGTTCAGTATCTCTTGGTAACATGATGTATTGTTTACTAGGCATATGTAACTGTTACAAAAGGTCAAACCTCATTTTACCATATTACGGTGAAGCGAAAACGAGGGTTATGATTTTGGTCAGTATTTATGTAAGAATGTTCATCTGTTCTCTTATAACTTTGAAACTACTCATTATAACTAGACAAATATGGTATCATTAGAAGTGTCTTAGTTGTATGTGTGCTTTAGGCTATGTAACATTATATTAAATTGACAACAACACCCTCTAGAGAGTGTAAAGTAAGAAATTAAAAAAATATATTATTCAATCATTCTGTGTAGGTCATCAAATGAAAGGGCTTAATTAGCACATTTCAAATGTTTCTTAATCATTAATTACCTATCAGTCAAAGCCTTACATAGTTTTAATTATATTTATGTTGATACAGTTTTAATGTTATAATTTTTATTATCATATGAGTCTAATCATTATTTAAGTAGTTTAAATTATTAATTAATATTAATTAAGCATATTTGTGTTTATTTATTAGTAGTTAGTAATTAGTAAAATATATTAGTAAACCTTCAAAATATTTTTTGAATATTATAAAAACAACAAAAATAAAATCATTATCTTATTTATTGGGTATTTAAGAAACAAAAAATAATCCTTTTACTTGCTACAACAGGGTGAGCTTTTAAAATATTTTTAATAACAAAGTAACCCAGAAGATTTGCAAGTGCATTTTTCCAACTACTTGCATAATGATTGGGTTGATTAGTAATGATTAGTAATACTCATTTGATAATAAAATAAAAAAAACATTAAAACTGTATCATCATAATTAAAACTTTGTAAGGCTTTGACTGATAAGTATTTAAAATAAATTGAAATTGCTTTTGAAAGTCCAAAATATTATCTCTTTTTTACAAAATTCAGACATTTACAAACTCATGCTGGTAAAACTTGGTCATCGCTATTATAATAGAGCTATTGCTATAAAATACATTCCTTGTTTCAAACCTTTTAGAATGTGATTAACCTATAGTTGGGTTTTAGTTTTTTAGCTAATTTTTTATAATTTATTTCAATGTCAAAAGTTATAGAACCTGTTAACTAACTCAAATAATAAGCAATAGTGTCTAATCAAATGGTAGTAAGTGTTGTTTGACACCATAAAACAAAAGTAAAATACTTAATATGAGTTTTTATTATTGCATTATTATATTTTACCTTAGCAAACAGTTCCTGTTGCTGTCGTAATAATTCTTCTTCAGGTATTCCTAAATTTTCAAGTCTTGTACTTTGTCTCCTTCTTTTAGCAGCTACAGCTTTACAGTCTTTAAGCACTGCCTCTGCTTCTAATGTATAGTCATTAAATCCCAATCTGTCAAGAGCTGGAAAATATAAATGTTAGTTTAATATAACAAACAAAATAAACATTAAATGATCACCACAATTTTACTTTGCTAAATATTTACCTGCTAAAACATGTTCAGCATTAATAGTTTTCTTATTGCTCTGATTACATATTTCATTTGCTTCTGAACTGAGCAAATGAATAAATTCCGTACAACAATTCAATATTAATTCTCTTGATTCAAATGCAACTCTCACAGAGGGAACCAATTCTTTTATCATTTTGTTAATACTAGCCCTAGGCAAAGTTAATTCATCTTCTTCTGAAGGTGGAGGGCACAGTTCTCGTTCTGGACTACCCATAATAGTTACCGATATTATTTTAGTCACAGGATTTTCGCGATCATATATTCTTTTATAAATTCTGCGATGACGAGCACATAGATTGATTAAAATGAGACAGCAAAAGTTTTTATCAACCAAATATTAATCTTTGTTAAACTTACTTAAGTGTATAAAATTCAAGGAATTGTTTAAAAATTTCGTTTTATATCTACGTGACACTCACAGACGAATAAGAGATACTTGAGAGATACTACGATGGGGGGGGTGCAACTCTGTATAGGCGATGTGAGATACCTACGGGGGCTGAATATTATTACTTCTAGCAACAAGAGAATTTCATAATGGCAACATCCGTAATTTTTGAAAGTGTATCAATGTTGCCAGCACACATAAATTGTTCTAATTTGGTTATTATTTTAATTAGAAATTGCACTTAAATAATCATTATTTCACCGTTTTGTATTGATGTTATACTTTTTATGTTATTTTTTTTAATTAAAATTTCTTTGCTTTTGCCTTTGAATAATCAAATAATTGATACATATGGCATATTTTATCTTGAATAAAAAAACTCGAAGAACTTTATATTAATAATACTTCCATTAGCCTGGCAGCACCGAAAATGGCGATCGGTTTTCGTTTTCATGCGTGATCGGTTGTGTTTGAAACAAATTTGCATTTTCTATACTATAACGTCGAGTTGAGCTTTTGTTCCTCCGTTTTATGTGCTAGGAAATTGCAGTGATTTGTGCTTTTAAATCAGACAGTGACTGTAATCGTGTTTTGTGAAAAAACATCTTCATAAAGAAGAATTATTTCCAGCAGCACGATGGCCGATAAAGAAAATAAGAGAAAATGTTTTAAATGTGGTTTTTCTCCAGCTACGGACAATGTCAAATTGTTTAGAATTCCTAAACCTTCTATATGGAACCTTAGTCGGTATGTAAAGTTCATTTCAGTACCTAAATTTCCATAAATAATTATAACTAGTTACCGTTATTTTAAAGATCCTTTTAAAAGTAGACGAGATTTACCATGTCGTTTATATTGCAACCTATCCAAAACGCAACAGCAAATATATATTGATATGTTAACATATTGTTTGCTTAAATATTTGATCGATTTTGCATGGGCTGGTTTAAACATTTTTCATTAATATATTGTTTGCTTTTCTTTTCAGTTGTTTATTGTGGGCCAACTATATGTTCCCTGATGGTGACTATAACTCTGTTTCATTTCAAACAAAACTACATAATGAACACAGAATGCTTTGCCAAAAACATTTTAAGGACTGTGATTTCACTGATAGTTCTAAAAAGAAGTTAATAAGAACTGCCTTTCCATCTGATGTAAGTTAACAACTTAAATGCAATAAATAGTTTTCTGAATAGAGGCTTCTTTTTTTGTTATATGTTTATGTATATAATATAGTAAGTTTAGTTATTATTAACACTTATTTGGTTTTCCAGGCTCAAGAAGATTTACAACATTTTGAAGAGCCACAGCCAGGCCCTTCTCACAGAATACCTTTGGGAAATTTAGAAAATATTAAATCTGGATATGATAACATTCAAAATCAGAAGACAAGTCCTGTTATGTATACACCTAAAACACAAAGAGAGTCTGAACTGTACACCAAGTGTTGCAAATATTTAAAAAAGGTTTGCAAATTGAGATCTCGAGTAAAAACTTAAAAAGCAAAAAATACTTTGAAACTGTTAGAAGATAACAAAACAATTACTAAGTTGTCAAATAAAATTTCTCCAGCATTTGCTTTACTACTACAGGGGCAAATAAAAAACTTCAAAAAAAAGGCTACTGGTCGAAGATGGTCTAACAAAGAAAAAATTACAGCATTGAGAATATATAAAAAGTCTCCAACATGCTACAGGTTACTGCGCAGACTATTTTGTTTGCCATCACCTGGTACATTGAGAATATTATTAAATAAAATACCATTCAATGTAGGAGTCAATTTTTGTATTTTTAAAACCTTGGAGGACTTTATTAAAACTCAAGATCCCACCGATAATGCCTACACATTGATGTTCGATGAGATATCATTGAAGAAAAATTTATCATATAATGTTAAAGAAGACTTTATAGAAGGTTTCCAGGACCATGCTGGACAAGGGAGGTCACCCCTTATTGCTGGATATGCTTTAGTGTTTATGATAGTAGGTATAAGAAAGAGGGTGAAACAGCCAGTTGCCCATTATTTTTCCAGTGGGTTTTCGACTGCAGATAGATTATCTGTACTCATAAAGGAGGTTAATACATGAACAGTTACTTCATTATACTTAAAAATCATACTTTTGTTAAATATTTTTTTTTTGGAAATGTTATCTAATATATATTTTTATTTCTATTAAAGGTACTACAGCAATGTTTTGAAGCAAAACTGAACATAGTAGCCATGGTCTGTGACTGTGATGGAGTACATAGAAGGGCACTAACTATTTTGGGTGCATCACAGGAGCAACCAAGCATATATTTTAATAATAAGGAGATTGTAACTCTCTATGATCCTCCACATTTATTGAAATGTTTCCGAAACACATTATTGAAGCATGACATTGAATGCAATGTGAATATTTCATCAGATAATAAGTTAGGAAGAGGTATGTAATTATTATTTGAAAAATTATCTATTCCTTATTGATATCAATATCAACTCTACTGATAGCCAAACCTAGAAATAGTTTTTATATGTTATTTTTAAAAGAAGAAATGTGTTCTAAATTAACAATTAACACTGAATACTTTTAATAAACTAATTATATGTTTTATTACATATATGTAAATTCAAAATGTTTTTTGCAATATGTTACTATTTTACTTAATAAAAATTTTTGTTGTGTAAGTAAAGTGTTGTATATTTTTTCAGGTATTGCTAAGTGGTCACATTTAAAGCAATTCTATGAAGTTGACAATTCTAACCAAATTTTTGTGTTTGCTCCATGTTTGAGTAAAGATCACCTAAATCCCAATAGCAAGCAGAAAATGAAGGTGAAATTAGCGGCGCAGGTGTTCAGTCATTCAGTAGCAGCAGGAATGTATGCAAAAATTTCAAGGGGTAAGTAAATGTGCAAAAAGAATACAATATTATAAATAACAGCAACAGCAACTTAAAAATTATTGGAATGTTTTACCATATTAACGTTCACAGGGAATTGAAAATATTTGTCATAAGCTTATTTTTAGCAAGTATTATTTTATTTGATACAGTTGTTCATACATACAATTAAGCAATTCATTTTTATTACATAAGATAGGTATTATTAAAGTAAGCAAATAGTTTTTGAAAATATAATAGCAGTAGCAGCAGTATAGTTTAATGGTGTGAAAATATATTCTCCTAAATAATATTGAAATTCATTTATTTCCAGGAGAACTCTCTGCTGAAGCTGCTGTTACAGCTGAGATGTTCACTAAAATTGATAAATTGTTTGACTGTCTGAACAGTGATTGTCCAGACTTAAGGAGAGGGAAACCTCATGCTACAAATTTGAGGAAAAATACACCTCATTTAAAATATTTTGAAGAAATGAAAAAATATATTTCATCATTAAAATATATTGGAAGCCCTCGGACACCACCATCACATGAATGATGGTTGTGGACATTAAATGCAGTTGGGCGTGTGTGGTACAAATTAGTAGCGACACATGGCATAAAAAGCTTAGCAACCAGGAGACTACAGCAAGATCCCATTGAGAATCTTTTTGGTTGCATACGAAGCAATTGCGGTTCAAATATGAACCCAACATGTGGCCAATTCACAGCAGCCCTTAAAACAGCAGTTTTATCTAATTTACCTCACATTGGGATAAAGGGCAATTGTGAGACAGATCAAAATAATATCATAAACAACTTCGAAAAAATGTTGTCTGTTGTACATCCCACTGCCATTGAAGAAAGGCAAGAAACAATAAATATTACTGATGTAGAATACACAGATTGTGACTCTGAAATTGATGCATGTACATATGTATGTGGTTTTCTTTTAAAAAGATTTAAAAGTACATGCAATGATTGTATAATTATATTTCAGGCAAAAAGTATAGAAAGTCACCATTTATTTGTGGAGTGTAAGGAATACGAGGACAGAAAAAAAAAATTGAATTATGTTACAAAAAATATGGCTGTTTGTGTGGAGCAATGTGCTTCTATCACTAACGAAATATTAAAAGAAAAGGGCCATATAAAAAATCTGAAATCAACAATCTTACAACACCTACAACATAATATAAATTTTGAATTTTTAAATAACTGTCAAATCCACAAACATGAAAATATAATAAAAATTACTACAAGCACTTTTTTCATGTGTATTAAGCGATATTGTATATTGCAAAATAGAAAATTCACCGAAGAAGCATCTGCAGCTGCATTAAAAAGAAAATTGGATATTATTCAACATAAATAAGCTGCATGCACTTTCAGTTTCCTATAATATTGTAAACTGGTTTCTTTTTATAGGTTATACTTCTAAACCACCTGGTTTATTGCTAAAAATTGCTTAAAGTTTTAATGTACCATTTAAAACCAACAAAAGTTTTAAATCAATACTTCACAATTCTCAGAATTTCAAGAAAACTTATTTTTTTTATGTTTGGCATTAGTTTCCAAGTTGTTTTTTTTTATGGGATAGGGGCAGATGAGATGACGGATCAGCTGATGATAAGTGATTACCGTCGCCCATGGACACCTGCAACACCAGAGGGGCTACAAGCGCGCTGCCGGCCTTTGAGGGACGAATATGATCATAGGGAGGGAAGGGTTGAGGGGTAGAGGGAACTCACACGACGAAACACAACGCAAGCGTTGCTTCACGTCGGTTTTCTGTGAGGCCGTGGTATCACTCCGGTCGAACATGTGTAATGTAACTAAATTTATGACATTTTACTTTGTCATTATCAAAGTATTCAAATACTATTCAGTGTGCTAATTTGGTGTTTAGTATAAAAGAAAATGAAACAATTTGTATTTGGTTTTATGAAAAAATATTTTGTATTTGCAGTAAAAATGCAATTCCTTTTTATATTTAATATGTAGGTACCAAAATTCAAACAAGTAAAAATTAATCCGTCTGTAGTTCAATGGTGGTTTAGCTGCAACAACATTTTATCGGTTACATTAATAATAAT